TCCCCCCCCTCTCTCACACACACACACATATCCTCTCTCATTTTCTCTGTCTCTATAACAATTAAGTAAAAAAACTGTCTGATATAACTCTGCCTATTTCTAAATATTGGTCTTAAAATGGATTTGAGAGAAGCAAAAGAAAAGGAGCATGTATGTCAAGGTTTGTAAAACTAATCTGAACACAGCAGTTATTGACCCAAGAAAACTATTAGTTTACAACCAGTCGTTGAAAGATTAAAATATAAACAAACACATGAATACCTTTGTAAAAGTCATATCTCATTAAATCAACCTTAAGTCATTAGATCCTATGTGAGAAGTTCAAAAGGTAGTTATACAAATGTGCATATTAAATATATTACACATATATTCATACATATTTGCATGTATATTTGATTACACATGTTCCATGTGTTATTGACTTATACAATATGAATTCTGAAGTATAAGATTAAACAAGATCTATAAAACAATAAGTGATTTGCTTGATGTTTACATCCTAAATGGAACTAAATCTTTAACAGTCATCCTCAATTAGAAAATGACACATTAATGTTGTGGTTGCAATAATAGACTTGGGAATATTTGAAAGGGTAAGCAATAAATGATGCAAGTTCACCAAAAAAAATAAGATACAAAAGAAAGCAATATGTTTATTCCTTCCTCGGTGGTTTAGACTTATCTGAAAGTATGTAAAGGTAAAGGAACTTTTCCCCATTCTATTTCTCAGGAGAGTCAGGCCCTCATCCTTCACATCTAAAGTTTTATTTGAAGCCAAAAGGTCTTGTCTCCATTATGAGTGGTCTCAATAGGAAATGGCTCAAAGATGAACAATATGTTTGACAATCTAAGAACATGAAAGGACCCCAAAGAGTTAAGAAGTATTTTAGAAACACTCGTGCCACAAGGATAAAAGAGGAAAGTGATCCAACAGTAGAGAAGCAATGGGTTAGAAAGAGGAACACAGCTTCTTGTTAAAGAGTACTATGGTTCAGGAATGGCATGCTACTTGCAAGACCCTGAATGGTAGATGATGCCTATACAGTATAAACTCTTGGCACCAGGGCTTGAGAGATGCAGCCAAGTTCTAAGTGAGCTGAAGCTAGCAGAGAGGAAGAGAGCCATGAGGACAGCTCAGTGCCCAGGGCAGCACTAGAAACTGATAAGTTTTCTACGCTAGAAGGGACAATGGGGAATGAGGCCAGTATCAATAACAGGGGCTGATCCCTGCCTTTTCCAGAGCCCTGAAAGCTTCAGGCTCACATATACCCCAAGGGTTCAGTGTAACAAACACTGATACATGATTTCTCATTAACCTTGCTTACAGGAGCCTTGCAACTAGATTTCATATGGTATTCTAAAAGCCAATACATAATAGAGCTTACCCACTAATTTTCTGAGAAAGTGAATTGCTAATATATGAACAGCCATATAATAACTTTCCTCAAAACCCAGCATCCTCTATTGCCCCTTTTAAAAGAGGAAAAGAGCTACATAATTATACTTTGAAGAACCTATAGCAATTTCAACAAAGGCCAAATCCTGAGTTTGCTCTTATTTAGAAACACTAGGATCTAAGAAAAGCATATCCTACACAACCACTGCCCTAAATACTCTTAACTTATTGAAGTTGCCATGTTCCACTTTTTAATTTTCTTTTTCCCTCTGAGCCAACTGCTGAGTCCACCAGCAGAGCTGAAAAGAGTGGAGGGAGGCAGGCTCTGGAATCAAATACATCTGCACTGGAGCCTTAGATCTACCACATCCAGATCTGAGGGAAGTTACCACCCTGCTTTCCCTCCAGTAGAAGAGACAAATGTTACAGGTTAAGCACCCCTAATCTGATAAGCCAAAAATCTGAATTTTTTTGTGCCAACATTATACCACAAGGAGAAAATTCCACACAAAAAAATTTGCTTCCTGTAGCAAATTATTTATAATATTCCATAAGATTACTTTGAGGTGGAGTATATAGGGCATATTTGGCATAACAAGTGAATTTTGTGTTTAGATTTGGGTCCCATCCCCAAAATACCCCATTATGCATATGCAAATATTGCAAACCCAAAGAAACCAATCTGGAATCTAAAACATTCCTGGTGCCAAGCATTTTGCATAAAGGATCAGCCTACAGTAAACACCTGAGAGGCTGTTGGAAGGATACAATGGGTAATAACATCCAGCTCTAAGTACCAAGTCTGTCACATCATTAGAATGAGAAATGGTAGTTATTATCAGCAATAGAAAACCGAAGCCACTGAGGAAATACTATTATTACTACACAGCATCCAAACACTAATGACTGGGAATGTGTAAGCAACATGTTTAATGTTATGAATTAATTGTGCTTCTAAGTTAATTAGATCTGTTAACTTAGCTGTGAGCTTTGAAATAACTTGCTTGTATCATGACAAAGAAAAAGCTGAAAATCTAAGACCAGACTAACAATGACTAGAAAAAAAAATTACACAAGAACATTGAGAAATTCAGCTTTCACAAAACACAAACATAAAAACTGTCCTTCCCAGCCATCAAGTATTGTTTTAAATATAAGTATTGAATTCAAAGTATATAATAACTAAAAGTTACTTCAACACTAGGCAGAGTTTCAGAAAAAGTTCTTGCTAGAGGGGAAAATTCAAAATGTTATCAATGGAATTTATCCATATACTGAGTAGGAAAGGTCTCTGGCAACATTTGAGTAGAAACTATTCCTATCCAGGCATGAATTTTGTAACAAAATTTCAAACCTTTGGCTAATGCCTGTTAACTAGTGGCATATGGATAAATATTTAAAATCTGGTTTCTAAGAGGACAGAGGCCCCTGATCTGGAATGATTATCAATTCCCATGGTATATAATCCTCCATTGCAGCCCATTTTAATCTAATAGCTCTGGGTAGCTAGTGCTAGCCAGATCCACCATACCTCCTAGACACAGAATTAGTACTCTGTGGTTAGACTGTCTGTCTGAATAAGGTTGTTTACAAGGAATTAAGTGCAAAGGTAAAGAGTACTGACAAATAGAATGCATATTCTCTAATACTAACTGCACAGGCATTACTCAGGCTGTTTCTCTTTTAACTACACTCTCCCTCACTGAAGTAGGTCTTCCTGTGTATCAATGATTATTGAGACCCCAGCCTAGCAGCACCTTCTTCCTATTGCCCCTGTCTCTCATGACTCTTGCTAGATGTCCTGACTACAGAAACTCTTAGACTTTCTCTGCATTCATTTAATAACATTCACCAAAAAACGATGATGCATCTTTCTGATTTTCCTCATCCAACTACTGCAGTCTCCCCAGTAGTGGTAAAAAACAGGTTATATTAAAAACTATTTCATCTAATAATAACCATACTGTATGAACAAGAAGTAATTACCCATTCATTTAATAATTTGCTTGCTTGTTTCATTCATTTGGAAACAGAAGTATTTTTAATTATACCATTTGGAAGACCACAGGAAAATCAAAACAATATATCTTCCAGCTTTGAACCCTAGGTCACCCCTGGTCTACTTCACTGCAGAAACTCCCAATTCACCAAACAAAAGGCATTTTATAAGGTAGATTATAAATGAAAATAAATTTCATGACATACTAATAATGGTGCATTGTAAGCCTTCTTAGTTGCCAAAAATAAGGCAAGCTATTGAATGTAATATTCAGCAATTCTATAGTCTTCCTATAAGTTACACTTAAAATAATTAAAGCATTTCTGTGGCTAAAAAAAAAAAAGAAATCCACTGCAAGAAGAGTTCTGTGACTAAGTGGTGGTGATGACTGGAAAATAAGATTAATATACTAAATGCCATTGAACTCAAGCAGGATCACTTAAGATGAATTTTAAATGATACATATTTTATCCAATTAAAATTTTATTTTAGGGCTGGAGAGATGGCTCAGTGGTTGAGAGCAGTGACTACTCTAACAGAGGACCCAGTTTCAATTCCCAGCACCCACACAGCAGCTACAAACAGTCCTTAACTCCAGTTCCAGGGGAATCTGAAGCCCTCTTCTGAACTCTGTGGCACTGCACAACATGGGTACACTCACATACATGCAGGCAATACACTCATATACATAAAATAAAAAATAGTATTTTTTAATT